GTTTCAAGTGTGCATTCTGTTCCTTCCTTTCCCTCCTTTCGTTTGTTTCTTTTCATGTCCGAAATTGTTGGGGGGGGGGTTAATGTTTCCCTCTTACCCTGTTTCGTTTGATCTTTGGTTGGGAATAAGAGGGGGGAGGGGGAAGTGTAATCGAGTGTATGTTTAGTTCTGTTCTTTTTCTGCTCGTTTGTTTGTTTCGTTTTATGGTCGAGATTGTTTTTATGTTTCTAATTCCCCCTTTTGATTCTTTCATTACTTTTTCAAAAAATATTTTGTTTCATTGTCCTGAAAAAATGTGTATGTCTATGTTACCCATTGACCCTTTCATAGCTGTACTTGAGCCCGTCTCACGTTGACACAAAAGGGTTAAAAAACACCAGTGAGGGTGAATTTCTATTTATCTGTCAGTCCAAAGTGTTTTTGTGTGGTTGTCTGTCTGTTTTGTTTGTGTCTTTCTTTTGTTAGTCTGTGTGTTTTGCGTTTTTTAAATTATATTTATTTCGTTTCTTTTGTTTTTAGAAGGTGAGGACTGCGAAGAGGGGCCTGGGGTTGTTGTTGTTTATTTTGTACGACGCTCTTTTTGTTTTGTTTTGTTTTTGGTTTATTTATTTGTTTGTCTGTTTGTTTTTTGTTGTTGTTGTTGTCTTGTTGTGTTGAGCATTTGGGCCGGGATGATCCTGACTAATTAAGTTCATCCACAATATTTTGGGTTTTTTTGGAAACAGTCATTTTGTTGTGTACTAACCATTCTAATATTATGATCAAATTTACCTCCTGATTTCAGCTGCACGAATTTGTATCTGATTATTATTATGATTATTATCATTATGTTGTTGTTTTGGGGTTTTTTTTTAGAGGAGGAGTGCTTACTCTCCACCCTTCCCACTTCCCGCCAAAACACATAATGTCCTCAGGTGTCCCTCTTCCCGCCAAAACACATAATGTCCTCAGATGTCCCTCTTCCCGCCAAAACACATAATGTCCTCAGACGTGGCTCCAGCCGCCGAGTAGTTGCAAGAAGGCCCGGCGCATTTTACAACTACAGGCGGGTTTTTTTGGCGGGGTTGTATCTTAATCTTCCTTTTTACGCTTGATCTCATGTTGTCACATTGAGGCAATGCTGTATATGTCTTCTACGGTTGGAGAGAAAGGGAGGGAGAGAGAGAGGGGGGGAGAGGGAGAGAGAGACAGAGAGAGAGAGAAATGGAGAGAGAGGAGGGTGCAGGAAGGGAGGAAGGGAAGCAGAGAGAATGACTCACACATAGAGAGAGAAAGAGAGCGAAGAAAAAGAAATGAAAAGAGACGGACATGGAGAGAGAGGGGGGGGACATAGAGTGAGAGAGA